ATCTACTGACGTTTTACTGGAATTATTGGCCATAGTCATGTTTCCGTACTGTCTCAATGAAATGGCCACAATTTAGAGATTTAATCTGCATCGGTCTTCTTGCACAATGTTTTCTCTTTCAATGTATTTTCATTTCAGAGAGGTTTTGTAAATTTAAACAAATTAAACAGGTTCATCTTAATGTTGGAGCTCAAATCTTTTTTTTTTCCTCAAAGCAAACAAGTCAGTGAAAGTCACAAGCTTCAAATTAGCCTCAGTCACACAACATCTGTAATTGATAATTAGTCAAGTGTGCTGTTAATTTAGCCCAGATTTATTCGGGTGACCTTTGTATATAAAAGACTGGTGTAGATGTATAAAAAGAAGTACTAATGGCCAGCATCAGCAACCTTATTGTTTAAATAGGAATACAAATACAATGTGGCTAAAATGGGCCATAACTTAGTTTGTGTTGAGGACGACACAAACTAAGTTCAGTGTTAACTGTTATCATCAAGCCGGTCTCGGGCTTCTGCCCAAGTGATCCTGAGATACTTCTGCTCACCGGTCTTGGGCTTTTGCTTGGAATTTCAGACCAATTCACTTCTAATTCAGATGATCAAATTCCTCTGCAGGGTTCTGCTGCTGAGATGTAAGCTGGGAGTGTTGCAGTACACAGTAGTAAGACCTGTCACCACAATCATTGCTTTGTGAGTACCCTCTGGTTGTTACATGCTTTATTCTTTAACTGTAGTCACATTTTGTTTGGTGTCTGTTGACGTCAGCTGTGTGTTTCTCTTCCTTTCTAGAATCTGTCAGCTGTGTCGAGTGTACGATGAAGGCAACTTCAGTTTCAAAAACGCATGGACATACCTGGTGATCTTCAACAATATGTCACAGCTGGTAATGGTGGATCTAAATCCTGTTAAAGATGGACTAAAAATTGTTACAAGCATTCCCTTCCTTCATTCCCATTCCTTTCAATGTCTTCTTTTGATCTAGTTTGCCATGTACTGCCTGGTGCTCTTCTACAAGGCTTTGAGAGAGGAGCTGAATCCAATCAAACCAGTCGGCAAATTCCTGTGTGTGAAAATGGTGGTGTTCGTCTCTTTCTGGTAAATCTCAGTGTGTTAAAACTTCATGACATGACCCAAATATTTCTGAAAAAGTCATTTAAAACAAGCTCCTTTTTACTGTCCTGGATAAACTGTATAGGCTAGTGAAACAGTGATTGCTGTAAATCTTTTTAGGCAAGCTGTGGTCATTGCTTTGCTGGTTAAAGTGGGCATTATCTCAGAGAAGCGCACATGGGACTGGCAAAGTGTGGAAGCTGTAGCTACTGGCTTACAGGTACGTGAGTATAGTTTAAACATTCTGACCAAGGTCAACAGAACTAATATATCCTATGGGACCTAATAGTGCAACACAATGAAGCTGTCCACTTTTTTTTTCTTTAGGATTTCATCATATGTGTGGAGATGTTTCTCGCAGCCATTGCCCATCACTTTAGCTTCACCTACAAACCTTACGTGCAGGAGGCCGAAGAAGTGTCTTGTTTTGACTCTTTCAGGGCAATGTGGGACATCTCCGATGTCAGAGCAGATATTTCTGAACAAGTCCGCAATGTTGGTACGTGTTCCTGCTGTTCTATAGGTGCTATAGTATCATAAGCTAGTTGGTATCGTTGATTATTTAAGCTATTTTTCCAACTGTTTGTATGCAAGAGTTGAGATCAAAATGAAGAGCCAGTTCAACAATAAATATTGTCTGCAAGATGAGTGCTCGTTACTTATGTATAACTACTTGTTACTTATGTATAACTACTCATTACTTATGTATAACAGGCTATACTGAGAAGGGAGTGCCTCAGCAGCGACTTTTAAACACAATTTAAAATGTGTAGTTAGAACAACATTCAGAATTTAAAAGATTGTGGAAAAGGTGCATGTTGGAGCCGGTACTTGCTTGGCTTCTTTATTTTAGGTTCCCTTTACTCAGTAGTCACTGATTGTACTAAGTCCTGTGCAGTTTTCTGACTGTACAAAATGGTAATGGCAATGACCACGTGATGGTTGTGATCCCATCCAAGCAAAACAGAAAAAACTCAGAGCAAAAACACCTACCAAAACCATCTGTACTGTAGATGTTCCTGTGATAATCTAGAACTGACTTCTACATACTGCTACATGAATAGCATTGTTACTGGTGTGAGCCATCATAACATGATCTTTACTGCATCCTCTCTAAAAAATATTTAAAAGTTTCTCTTTGTCCACATTTGCAGGAAGAACAGTTATGGGTCGTCCGAGAAAGTCCTACTTCAATGAGGCGCAAAGTGATGGTGAGCGATCCAGCCTGCTCTCTTCTGCGTCTCAAGATGCCATCACCGAAGCAGCTTGTAATCCAGTTTCTCCTAAGGGTCACTATCAGGGCCTGGGCAGAACCCCCGCACCGCACTCTTTGTCAGCACCCGCTGGGCTCGGCTCAGCCCTGTGGGAGGAAGGGTGTGAGGCTAGACCTGAAGAAACCCAGGATGAAGAAACTACCAACCAAACCAAAGACCCGACAGAGGCAGATCTCATTGTGATCACCTAGCTTAGGTGTCGCAAACAAACTCTGCCAGACATGGTTGGGCAGGGCCCAATTATAGCCTTGCCACATTTTTTCAAACGTCATTGATGCAAACAAGACAAACTCATTTAAAAGGGCACAATGACCATGTAGTAGTCAAAGTCTAACAAAAACATGCAAGACATAATGGACCGCTTCCAGTGACAGCTTCAAGAATGTTTGGTGATTTAATGGCACTAAAAGACTAGTAAGCAACGTCATTTTGCTGTTTTATGTTTTATTAGAGAGTAGGCTAAGCTAGAATTGGTTTTACCCAGGAAAGACACAAGATCAGACAAAACATGGCTCTCACCGAAGAATAAGTGAAATATGGAGAAATGTTTTCCAAAAATGAAACTATACAATTTTATGTGTCATTCATGCCGTAATCTCAGATGTGACAGAAGAGGGAAATATGCAACCTTTTAAACTGAATATCATGCTTTTACTGGTTTTTGAAAAACTGAAAACCTGCACTACTATAACTACAGATATCTGCTGTCGTTTCGTTCTAACTAGTCGATTCAGAGGGAAGAAAAGAGCAACACGATCTTGTACCACAGTTAACTGTGGTACAATGATGTGTACATCACTAGAAAAGGGGTCATAACTGACAATATCACACAGTATCAGTATAAATGTAGTATACTCCATTTCAGAAGAGTATGAATATATACAATTAAACAATCCTAGTATTATTAAAATCACAATTCAGTTTTAAAAAGTACAATCAACACCTCCTGGTTGGCTCTTATCTATGCTTTAATGCGTACAGCTTACTCGACAGTTAATAGAATCCGCTAGTCTTCGCAGATGCCTTGTTCTGTGTGCTGTGTAACTAGTCTGTTTACACATCCATGTAGAATGTGTTTTATTTTATTTTTCAATCTGGGATCATTTTTATTTGGTGAGATGTTTTCTGTCTCTTGTAAACTGAAATAATTTTGCACCTGTTGCACTAAAGCCATTTGTTTTTCCATAAAGGATCCTTCTTTGTGAATTCACAGATTTGTTCAGGGATATTGCCATCATTAATGTACAGTTTTGGGATATCAGTGTGTGGCACAGCGAGGGGTAACTGGCATCATGCCTGACTCTGGTATGTCGCACTGCCTTATGGGATTTTCTTTTTC